TGGGGCCACGAAGCGTGTGAGGGGTGTGCCGAAATGAGTGGCGGGGACGCATGCGAACTGTGCCACTGGGACCTTCGGCGGAGCTCCTATGGGGCCACGGAACGTGTGCGGGGTGTGCCTAAATGATGATGCTGATGTTGATGATGATGATGATGAAGACGATTATGGCGATGATGACGATGATGATGATGATGATGATGATGATGATGATGATGATGATGATGATGATGATGATGATGATGATAATGATGAGAACGATGATGATGGTGATGCGGATGAGAGGAGGGGAGGAAGGAGGAGGACTTGCGCGGACCGTCTCTTCAAAACGAAGACCCAACAACACAGGCTGGTTGGGAACAGTAGTAAAAATAGGTCCCCAGACGATTGTTGGGCTATTGTTTGATATGTTTTGGGGTATCTTTTATTTTTCGTCGAACGAAAATCCCCCTGTAGGGGGACAGGCCCGACTTAACACAAGGATGCCCGATAAGGATGCAAGGGTCCTGAAAGGCCGTGTCGACACTCTGCGAGCGGGGCGCGAAAAACGGAAGCGGCCAGACATGGACCGAGGAGGCAAGAATGCAGGGGCAGCCTTGGGAAGGTTGCCCGTCCTTGCAATGCGGGCTGACTGTGGGAAGCGGGCATTTGTGCAGGTCCATGTCCGTCCTGCTCAAGGCGAAGCGAAAACATACATGCAGGTGAGCCCAAATCGAGAACCAAAATGAGCCCCGCTACTGAATAAAAAAAAAACGCGCATCGTTTTTTTTTTTTTTTTTTTTTTTTTTTTTTTTTTTTTTTTTTTTTTTTTTTTTTTTTTTTTTTTTTTTTTTTTTTTTTTTTCTGAATTCCGAAAACCATTTTGCATTCCAAAAACCGCTTCTTGAATCCAAAAAGCACGATTCAAACACCCATTTGTTGAATTCAAAATCCGCGCTTCGAATTCAAAAACCTCTGACTCCCGACTGTTCCAGAGGATATCCTGGGCGCCGCGGCCTTCTCAGAGCCTTCGGGAACGCTCCGAGAGCGCTGCGGAACGTCGGGACTGGTCTGGCCTCGTCGTGCCGGTCAAAGAGGCGCTGCTGCTGGCGTGTTGGTCACGGTGGTGCTGTTGACGCGGGTGCTGCACGTCGTGCTGGTCGATGCTGTGCTGCTGCTCACCGCTGGGCTGCTGGCTAGTGGTCGCGCCGAGGAGTCGTCGCGCCCTTCTGCTCCTTCTCTCCTCGGTCCCGCGCCTGCTCGCGACAGCACTGCGCCCCGCATCAGCGTCGTCTTGCTGGGTCGGAGTCGCCCGCTCTGCGCGAGCCGCACACGGGCCACGGTTCGGCCCAGGTGGGGTGCGCCCCTGGAGGCCGCCCACCTCTCTGCGCGCGTCTTCCGGAGGCGCGCGGAGCTCCGGGGCCGAGCGCGCCCTCTGCGATGTCCGCGATCCACCCCCGAGATCCTCAGCACCCCGCGCAGCGCCCCCAGCACGCAAGTGTTGGGCACCCTGCGCGGCATGCCTTCCAGGGGAGGTGGCAGTAGCTGTATCGTCCATGCAAGTCGCGCTGCTCGTCGAGCTGGTCATGTTAGTGCTGCTGTCTGTGTACTTGTCACGGTGGTGCTGTTGCGGCGGGTGCTGCGCGTCGTGCTGGTCGGTGTCGTGCTCGGCTCGCTCATCTGCCTCTGCCGTCGCTGGTGTAGGAGGTTGTGCTGGGGTCTCGTCCCTCGCAGCGACGGCACTCCATCGGCTGCGTGGCTCGTCTTGCTGGGCTGGAGCAGTCAGGTTATGCGGGCGAAGGCCTTTCAATGAATCTCCTCGCTGAATTCCCCAGACTGCCCTGCATGTGGACGCAGGGTGTGCTCGTCCTCCCCCTCCACGCCGATGTTCGCAGCATGTTGTGTCCTGGGAGTGCTGCTGGTACTGGCGCTGGACGCACCGTCGTGCTGCCGCTGGTGCTCCTTGTCACCGTGCTGTTGTGCTCATTGCTGTCTTTCTGCATGTGACTCGGGCTGGGCGAGGAGGAGGAGGAGGAGGGAGGCTGGAGGCGGGAGGGTGGAGGCGGGAAGGAGGGGCGATGTGGAAGAGGGATTGAGGAGGAGGAGGAGGAGGAGGAGGAAGAGGAGGAGGAGGAGGAGGAAAAGTGGCTCAGTCCGCGGGGCAAATGCCTCGGCAGCAGAAGAGGAGGCCGCTGCCTGCCGCGCAGTACTTCTGCGCCGCGGGAAAGAAAAGTGGCGAGAGCCAAGCAGAGGGGCAGCGGAGCTACGGGCGCTTACGGGACAACATCCAGGGTAGAGCCACGGGGATTGGCCATCGCGGGGCCTTCACCTCCTGCTTCCCTCCCTCCCTTCCTCCTACTGCATCAATCCCCATCCTTCCCCCTGGGCAGGGCACAGCCGTTAAGGGGTCAGGGTAACCTACGCGGCGCGCACGTGCAGCAAAAAGCAGGACGACGCTCATTGCAACCACCATCCTCTCTCCTCTCTCCTCTCCCTTCCCTCTATAAATTCGCTGGCCCAACGGGCCAGAGGCGTGCCAAAATCTCCGGCTACTGGTAAACAATATTTCCATTTCGCGCGTGCGGGGCGGCCCCTGGGGGTCCCAGAACGAACAGCACCCTGGTCGGTGCTACTCAGAGATGGGTTTTCCTTCTGGGCCCGGCTTTCAGGCGCCCCCGAGCGCTCCTAGAGGGCCCCAGGAGTACCCAAGACGGTCCAAGAGGGCTCCGAGTCGCCGACCGATCGGTCCAAGACGCCCAAGATCGCCTCCAGACAGCCGCAGAGGCTCCTAATACGCCCAAAGAGGCCTCGAAGAAGCGTCTGAAGAGGGCTCCAGGAGGCAAAAACCTTTTGATGTTGAAAGATTTTGCCGTTCTCATCTGTTCGGCTTCCCGACGCTCCAAGAGGGCCCAAGAGGCCCCACATATCACCCCGAGACGGCCCAAGAGGCCTCCAAGAGAGCCACAAGAGGGCCCAAGAGGGCCCAAGAGGCCTCCAAGACGGCCCAAAATATCCCCAGGACGGCCCCAAGAAGGGGCCAGACGGGAAACCCGAACGGACATGTCGAGCCCTCGGTCCCAAGAGGCCCCCAAGACGCCAAAAGAGGCTTCTAAGAAGCGTCTCAACAGGGCTCCAGGAGACAGAAACCATAGAGTTCCTAACAGCTGTTGAAGAATTTTGTCGTTCTCATCTGTTCGGCTTCCCGGCGCTCAAGGACGGCCCAAGAGGCCCCTAATATCGCCCCAAGAGGCCTCCAAGACGGCCCAATATATACCCAGGACGGCCCCAAGAGGGGGCCAGACGGGGAACCCAAACGGACATTTCGCGCCCTCGGCCCCAAGGAGGCCCCAAGAGGCCCCTACGAGGCTCCACGAGGCTCCAAGAGGTCCCCAAGGGGCTCCAAAAGAGGCTCCCAACACTTCCAACAGGCCCCCAGAAGCCCCAAGAGGCCCCGAGAAGCCCCCGAGAGGCTCCCCAGGGGCTCCCTCCGAAGAGACCCCAAGAAGCAGCCATGAGGACTTTGACCAACAACCCAGGTGCGTCTCGAAACTCTTCTATCGGCGGTGGACAAACCTCCCTTTAGTAAACCTCCCTTTAGTGAAAACGGCCTGGGACCGAAACCGACGGACCTGAACCCGCAAAAATGACGGCCGCGACGCCCTCTCTCGAACCGAAAACGGCAAATTCCTTAATCGACGTGGGAGGTCTGTCCACTCCCGATTCTACAGCTCTCTTGAGCCATCTTGGCGCCCTCTGGGGCAGTCTAACAGCTCCCTTCGACAGGGTGCGAGCCACGTCTCCAGAGATCTCCTCGAAGATCGTACGGCCCTCCCCCTGGGCACGAGCGCACCATCACGCAGCCACAGTGATGCGAAAAGGGCCGGCGGAATGAGCGAAGCGATGAAATAACTCCTCCTTTTGGGCTCGTGCCCTCTGAGACCTGATTGTCCAATCTGGCGTCTTTTTAAAATTCGCCGGCCCAACGGGCCAGAGGCGTGCTAAGATCTCCGGTGACTGCTTTACAATCTTTCTACTTCGCGCGCGCGGGGCGGCCCCTGGGGGCCCCCGGGCGGAAAGTACCCCGGCAAGGTCCCGAGAGAGTCCCGGGAGGAGTCACCAGGGCGCTCCAGCAGCGCACCAACGCGGCTCCGAGACGTCCCCCAGAGCCCCAAGAAGGGCCAAGAGGCTTCCAAGAGGCCCCCAAGATGCTACATGAGGGGTCCGAGATGCCACAAGATCGCTCCAAGACGCCCACGATGGCCCCCAGACGCCCCAAGAGGCCTCCAAGAGCACTCCCGAGAGGGCCCCAAGAGGCAAAATTCACTGCTTTTCCTTAGGTTTTGGAGAGATTTTGGCGTTTCCACCTTTTCGGCTTCACGACACCCCAAGACGGCCCAAGAGGCCCCCAAGACCGCCCCAAGAGGGCCCAAGAGGCCCCCAAGAGGGCCCCAAGACGGCCCAAGAGGGCTCCAAACGGCCCAAGAGGCCTCCAAGACGGCCCAAGAGGGCCCCAAGAACGCCCCAAGAGGGACCCCAGGGGTGGAACACGAAACAATATTTCGAGCCCTCGGCCCTCAGAAGTCCCCAGGAGGCCCCAAGAGGCCCCTAAGAGGCCCCAAGAGGCCCCCAACAGGCCCTCAGGAGGCCCCCAAGAGGCCCCCAAGCGGCCCCAGGAGGCCACCCAAATGCCCCCCCGAGCACGCAAGCAAGTGCCAGCGACGCTACACTATGGGCCGGCGGAATGAGCGAAGCGATTCAATAATTTTCCGGCTCTCTTGGGGCTTTCTGAGAATATTTAAGACCCCACTAACCAAAAGCCCAGCCACAGCTGAGTGAACACCCCCGCTACATCCCGATTTGCCCCCCGCGCAACCTCCGCGTTCCAAAAAACAAAGTGGGGCGGCGGTGTCTGCCCCCTCAGGGGCGTTCAATTCAATAACTCCTCCTTTTGGGCTCGTGCTGGGGGAGGGACTCTATGGGTGCAGCGAATGTCTCTCCGGCAAGGCCCAGCCGCCAAGGGGGGCTCAGGGCGGCTCAGCGATCGCGATGCCGCCGGCCCCTGTGTGTCGCAGGTCCTTGCAGCGCAGGACCACCTTCTGGACCCGTGCGTTGACCTTGTCGATCTCGGCCTGCTCCAGACTCGACCCGGCCTGCCACATGTCGCTCCACCTCTTTATGTTGTGGCCCAAGTCGTCGGAGAGGCCGCTCAGTTGGGGGAACAGCTGGACACAGACCTCGCACATTGGGGCGATCACGAACTCGATGAAGCCGATCTGGGAGTTGGGCCGGTTGACCTTCGCACGGTCGTTCAGGAACTGCACGGGCACGCCAAGCTCCCTCTCCTTGTCGCCCTGGGCGAAGAACTCGTCGAGGACCATGTCGGCGTATCTGTGGCAGAGCTCCCACGGCTTCATCGGGTTGGAAATGTCAGCGCAGTGCAGGAGCGCGTTCATCACAGTCTGGACAATGTGAGGTGAGTCGTCGTTCACCACGGAGCCAGGGTCCAGCCGATCAAAAGCGTCCGAGTTCATCTGGTAGAGCAGCCCTAGGTCCTTGACCATAGGGACGTGGTGCGTCATGTCTGTGTGCAGGATGCCGTCGATGATGTGTTTCCGCATTTCCTTGTATAAGGTTTTCTCGATCTTGTTGAAGATATCACAAGAAGGGTCCCTCACGATGTGAAACAATTTCGAACAATGCATCATTTCCATCGGTGACCTATCGTTGTACTTGATGGCGAGCTCGTGAGAGGTCTCCATCAAGAACTGGTTGTTCACCCCAAGGTGCCCGACATCGTGCGCCAGGGCAGCGACAAGCAAGAGGTACTGCATCACCTCGGTGAAGAACCTGCCCGCCTCGATCAGCTGCAGGAATCTCGCCACGGAGTAGAGCACGTCGACACCGTGGGAGAAGTTGTGAAAGGGATTTGGCGGGTACCCCTGCTCTACGGCCGAAATGAACTTGAACAACGTCTGGCTCTCGACGTTGATGCAGACCCAGTCAGCGCAGCCCGCCTTGTGTGCAATAATGTACCCGCAGACCCCGAGCTGCAGCTCTTTTCCCCAGTCCAGCACGTTGCAGTGGGCCGAGTCGAGGGAGGCAACCACATCGACCGAGACGCACTCCATGATCCCTGTCGGCGATCGTCCCAGCCTGGGGCGCGCTCCAGATGCCCTGGTCGTCGAGTCATTGAGGGACCTCTCCTCCGCATCGTTTGAGGATGGGGCATTCGACGGTCTCGACGAGGCCACTGTGACTGTCGACGTAGCAGCTCGGAGCGAATTTGAGGCCACGCTCCCGGCACTGCCGTGATGAGACTGGTGCGACAGCTTGGGCGCGGTGCCGCCCTGCATCCAGTGGAGCTGGACAACGTCCTCCTCATTCATGTCTTTGGTGACCTGAGGCTCCCCGTTCTTCGTCGAGAGCGAGACGATGGCGGCGAGCTTGGCGATCACGTCCTCCAGCAACTGGAACTCGTTGTCGTCTGCCCGCGTGTCGTCCTCGGGCACGGTGTCCTCCTGGATGCCCGCAGCGAACTTGAAGATCTGCTTGCAGTGCCCCCTCACCACGCTCAACATGCGCTCCAGGGGAGCCAGAGCTACGACGCTGATGCTGTTACTCATCAGCATACCAAAACCCAGCATGACCAAGACAACGAGAACGATGGAGGCCATGTTCGCGGCCGACTCCTGAGCCGTGACGACCGACATGTCGTAGAACGCCTGGAAGTTCGACGCGCTGACCTCCCGCACGGATGCCCGCCGCCCAGGCTCCTCGAAGGAGGATCTGAAAGCCAGCCTCTGGCTGGCAGTCGAAGCCGTCGCCTGCGGGCAGCCCGAAGCAGACCGTGTAGGGGCCATAGTTCAGGCCCCTGTAGAAGTCGGAGAAGCGCTGCAGCTCGGAGTCCAGGCGCGTGGAAAGCAGCACCGCCTCGGTGGAGCCTGGGCTCGCCAGCGCCGCCTGCCGCGCTTGTTCGACGCTCACCGCAAGCAGCCTGGCCCAGGAGGTGAACGAGCGGTCGCTCTCGGGGTACTGAAACATGTTGAAGATCGGCATCGTCACCACGATGCAGATGGTCAGGAAGGCGACCCTCTGCGCCAGCACAGTGTTCAGCCGGCCGCTGATCGCGTGGGCCACCTTCACCTTCTCGTGGTCATCCCGTACGTACATGAAGGGCATGAACCGAAGGATCTTTAGCACCCGCGTCAGACGCCCCGCGCGTGCACCGAGCCTGGCCGCCCGCGCGGCTCGGACGAGGATGACGTTGTCCTCCGCGCTCCTCTCGCGAACCTGCTCGGGGCTGGTGGCGTCGGCCCCGAGCAGGTACGAGATATCGAACAGCATCGAGGCCGTGCCGATGAGGTCCATCCAAAAGAAGAAGCCCCCAGGGTACCCCCTCTCTGAGAGCGTCAGCCCCACGAACTCGTAGAGGAAGACCATGAGCACCAGGGTGAGAGTGACGTCCAGCTCGGTGTTCGACGGGACCTGAAACACTATGAAGGCGTCGTACAAGAACAGAGCGTTGAAAAGGCAGACCATCGCTAGAGTGGAGAAGGCCCTGCCGCGGATGAGCCTGCGGCACGACACGGCCGTGCTGGACTCGTACCAGCCCTGCCAACTCCAGCATCGCTGGCCCGCGCCCGGCGCCGGAGGCTCCGCCACGATCCTCAGGAGGCCCTCGCTCGCGCCCGAGATCAGCGTCGGGGGCCGCCGGATGGTCGGGCCGGGCGAGAGTAAAACAAGGCCAGGATCGGGATAAATCGCTCCAGAGCGTTTCGGAACGCTCTCAGAGCGTTCCGGAACGCTCTGGAGCGGCCGCGCCGGAGGCGCCCATGCATCGAGGAATGGGCCCCTCGGCGGGGCCGGAACCGGCTGCATGCAGCAGATGTCGTACCCCCCCTCCCCTTCCCCTTATCCCCCCCTTTCGTCCGGCCCGAGATGGCCCTCTTGCTGGAGGAGCTGGGCTTGCTGTCGAGCCTCCAGCTGCTCCTGCTCACGGTGCTGGCCTTCGAGGAGGGGCTCTGGCCCGCCCCCTCGCCCCTCGCGCCCGGGGGCGCCAGCGTGTCTCGCGGGCGCGACCCCTGCTCGGGCTCCGCCGGCGAGACCTTCGCCATCGCTCGGGGCGTGGTCCCCGTTGGACGCCCGAAATGGGTGCGGAAAAAACGGGTACAATGCCCAACGGCAACTGTTGTCCCAAACCATCAGCGGCCGCTGTTGGGCAGGCGGCCTTCTGTCTCAAACGGGCACAGGCCGCGGCGGCGCGGACAGCGAGTCCTGTTCATAATGAACAGGAGCTGCTGTTGGGCATTGTACCCATTCTTTCCGTACCCATTTCGTTCGTGCCGGTCCTCGTCCTCCCCGCTGTGCACCGCGCGCGGCGGGCGCGCCGGCCTGGCTGGGCCCCGGCCCTTGCGCCGGGGCCGATGGGGCGGTCGCGACTTCTGGCCGCGCGGCTTGAGCCAAAACGGCTACGGAGGATGGAGGGGGAGGAGGCGGAGGAGGAGGGAAAGTGATGTAGGAACAGGAGAACGAGAGCGTGGTGGGAGCAGGAGCACAGCATGGAAGAGGAAAAGGGTGGACGATGGCGGATGTGAGGGGCAACGTTAGGGGGTGGGGGACCAGCTCAGGGGGGGGGGACACCGACCCAGAATCGGCGATACATGGCGAATAGATCGGCGCCGAGACCCCGATAGCGGATCTGCTTGTTCCTGGGCGGGGTGGACGATCGGGCTCCTCTGTCGGCGAGGAGTGGGCGATTCGAGATCGATGCGTTCCCCCCGAGCCCGTCCCCCTCGAGTGTCGCCCCCTGAATCGGCGGCGGGCCTGGGGGAGGAGGAGGAGGAGGAGGAGGAGGAGGAGGAGGAGGAGGAGGACGAGGAGGAGGAGGAGGAGGAGGAGGAGGAGGAGGAGAACGAGGAGGAGGAGGAGGAGGAGAACGAGGAGGAGGAGGAGGAGGAGGGGGGGGAGTGAGAAGGGGCGGGGCCTTCTCAGAAGCCTCCGAAGTCCCTGGGCCTTCTGCGAAACGTTCGAGGCCTTCCCCGGAGGCACAGAGAGAACCGATCAGAAGGCCAGGGCGCTTCGGAGAAGTCCAGCCGCCTTCTGAGAAGGCCTTCTTTTTCTGAGAAGGCCTCCTCCTTTTCACTTGCCCCCCTCGCTCGCCGCCGAATGAAAGATGAAACTGGATGCGGAGTGGTGGGGGAAGGAAGCGGAAGGGCAGAAAAGGGTAGGGAGGGGCTTACCCGTCAAGGACTTCGCGCAGGTGCGCAACCATCGTCGCGTTCGCCTCCATCTGGCCCTCGAGCGTTGCTGTAGCAGCCTGTGGGCGTTTGCCGTTCCCTTGTGAGCCTCACTCCTCCCTTTTGTCCTCCTTCCAACTCTAGACCTGTTTCTCCACTTATTGCCACCAGCCAACTGGCTGACCTATAACGCTTGTGCGAGAGTGCAGGTTGAATGACTGAATATGTTAGTGTGGCTACGTGCGTGCTCGCGTATCAACGAGTGTGTGCAAAATTCTCTCTCTCTCTCTCTCTGTCTGTCTTTCTCGGTCTCTCTGTCTCTCTCTCTCTCTATATATATATGTATATATATGTCGTTACTTCGTTTATTCCCTACCTGGGCTCTGCCCAGAAGGGTTCTTACTGGCTTTGCTTAAAGGGGCCGGGCAATGTAACACGCCCCGGGCGGTTCTCCCGGCATCCGCCCCGCGGTTCCCCCGGCATCCGCCCCGCGGTTCCCCCAGTTGCGCCCATGCTTAGCTTAGCTTAGCTTAGCTTCGCTTAGCTTATCTCATCTTAGCTTAGCTCAGCCTAGCTTACCTTAGCTTAACTTAGCCTCGCTTATTTCTTATTAGCTTAGCTTAGTCTAGCCTAGCTCAGCTTGGCTTAGCCTAGTTTACCTTAGCTTAGCTTAGCTCAGCTTATAATAGCTTTGCCTATCTCGTCTTAGCTTAGCTTAGCATAGCCTAGCTTAGCTTAGCCTAGTTCAGTGTAGCTTAGCTTAGCTTAGCTTAGCTTAGCCGATCTCATATTAGCTTAGCTTAGCTTAGCCTACCTTAGTTTAGCTTATCTCATCTTAGCTTAGCTTAGCCTAGCCTAGCTTAGCTTAGCTCAGCTTAGCTTATAATAGCTTAGCTTAACTTAGCTGATCTCATATTAGCTTAGCTTAGCTATCTTAGCTTAGCTTAGCTTAGCTTAGCTTAGCTTAGCTTATGCTGCTTTCCTAGAGGCTCCAACTCCTAGGTAGGGTCGCACTGGGATAATTGTTTTTTGCTATTTTTTGTTTCTCTCTCTCTCTCTCTCGCTCTCTCCCCCCTTTGACTCCATCCCCGTCCCGCACTCTCCGCACATGCAAAAAAACAGGCAAGACATCGAGTGTGTCTTGCGCCCCCCTTCCTCCCCCAGCATGGCGCAGAGGACGAGCCGAGCGAGGCCTCGTAAGCATCACAGTGATCCCATGTGCACCCGAATACACTATGACCAGCGTCGACAATAATAATACCAGCAGCAGCAGCAGCACCAGCGGCAGCAGCAGCAGCAATAACACCACCACCACCACCACCACCACCACCAACAACAACAACAACAACAACAACAAAAGGAAGCCGGCTGCCGGGGGCCCCGGTCCCCCGGGACCCTGCTGGCCGGCTTCGATGGCGAACCCGGCTGCCGGGTGCCCGGCTCCCCTCACCCCCCGGAACAACGCACAACATATCAACATAACAACGCCAAGACACCAACACAAACACACGGAAGCTAAACACATACCAATTTTCGAACAACCACCGACGGTGCTCTACATGATACAAGAGTGCACCAGCGAAGCGATCCATATGGCTCTCTACAGACCCTCATGGGATCCATATGGGATTATTACAGACCCTCACGGGATCCCTATAGGATCCTTACAGACCCCCCTGGAATCCCTATGGGATCCCTACATGCCCTCATGGGATCCCTATGGCATCCTGGCAAACCCACAGGGGATCCGTATGGAATCCCTACAGCCCCTCAGGGGATCCCGATGGAAACCCTACAGGCCCTCATGGGACCCCTATAAAATCCTGGCAGACCCTCATGGGATCCCTGCGGAATCTTAACCTTATGGGATCCCCAAGCATTCCCTACAAACATGGGATCCCTGTGGAATTCTTACAGATCCTCATGGGATCCCTACGGAATCCCTATAGCAGCGTGGGCAATCCGTTTCCCGCTTGCAGCGGATGCCACGGCGGTCCTGTCGCCTGCGGCTGCTGGGGTGGCAAGGAAATCCATGGGGATCCTCACACGGAGCGAACGCCATGGGCATCTGGGCACGGTGCGCTCTGCCTAAAAGAAAACCATTGGAATCCTAAGGGATCCCATCGAAATTCCAAGAAAATCCATAGGGATCCGAAGGAAACCCATCGGAATCCCAAGGAAATCGATAGGAATTCGTAGTAAAATCCATTGGAGTCCGAAGGAAATCCATACGGATACGGACATCTATCGGGATTCTAAGAAACCCAATCGGGATCCTAAGGAACTCCATAGGAATCCGAAGGGAATCCATAGGAATCCTAAGGAAATACATCGGAATTCACGCACGGAGCGAACACCAAGGACGTCTGGGCACGGTGCGCTTTGCATCAGGGGTGCGCCGAACTGGACCCAAGGCCTTCGGTGGAGCCCAAATCGTATGAGAGGTGTGTCGAAAGTCGCCTGAAACCTTCGGTGACGCCCACTGGGGCCACGAAACGTGTGAGGCGTGTGCCGCAATTGGCACGAAACCTTCGGTGAAACCCACTGGGGCAACGAAACGTATGAGGGGTGTGGCGAACTGGACCCGAGGCCTTCGGCGGATCCCCCGATGGGGCCACGAAGGTGTGCCGAAATTGACCGCGAATCCTTCGGTGAGACCCGCTGGGGCCTTGTACGTGTAAGGGGTGCGCCGAACTGGACCCGAGGCCTCGTGGGGCCCCTGTGGGATCCCTACAGAACCTCAGAGGAACCAGGTGCAATCCCTACAGAACCTCACGGGATCCCCGTGGGATCCGTGCGGAACCTCATGGTCGGCCAGCCGCGTCGGATTAGAGGGCAACCAAGACCTGCATCGAAGCACCGTGGCGCTCAATAAAAACGCAACGCGTCGCCGAAGCGATCAGCTTGCCACCTAACAAGGCTCCACGGGCGATGCTCTGGTGGGCGCGCTCTCGGGCCCCGCCTCGTCCTGCAGCGTGGCTCCTGAGAGGCATGGTGCTCACAGCATGGTTTCGCCTCCAGCTCCTCCTCCTGCTCGTCTCCTCCTCCTGCGCATCCCTCTCCTCAGTGGCACGCGCTCCCGCTGTACCAACCAGCGCCCCGATAGCTGGCCTCCGCGGTCGACTCCCTCCTCCCCTACTGGACGAAGAGTACAGTCGGGGCGTTGACCTAAGGAACCCTAAATAAGGAACGAGGCCCCTTTTTTCCATAAGCTGAACTTCGATTTCCCATCGAAAACATAAAGAAACCCAAGGCAAACTGTGAAGCAATCAAGGAACACGGAGCCCCTCCCCAACGAAAAGGGTTCCTTCTTCAGGGCCCCGACTGTACAACGTCGACCCTTCATGTGCGCCATACATCTGTGGCATTTTTTCTGGCTACCTACCAGACCACCCCAACCCAACCCGAAGACCCGAATTTCGGGTTGGGGGGGGGAAGGGTTCCACATGTGTTTTTTCTATGTTCCCCGACCCCCCCCCACTGGAAATCGAGGGTAAATCTGAGCCTTCGGGTTGGGGTGGGGTGGTTCGGTGGGTGGTGATTTTCATTCGCGGCGGTAGTGGGCGTTACGGAGGGGTGAAGGGGGGGGGGCGGGGAGAGCGTGACGTAACGCCCCCGCCCCCCACCGTGAGGGACTGCGGTGCCGGACGATCTGCGGCAGTGCCAGGGGCGAGCCGGGAGGCGGGGAGCCGAACTCCGGCCATCGCTCGGACGTCCACTCCCTCCCTGTGCTTTTTTCGGTGTCGTGCGTGGTAGTTTTTCGCCCAGTGATCAGGGATGCTCCTCGATGGTCCTCGCCAAAGGAAAAAGGCACACGTCCGAGCGATGCCAAGAACTCTGCGGGAGGGGAGGGAGGGCAAGGGAGGGGACATAGCGAACGCTGTGACCCAGAGGGTGGAAACAGTCTCAAGATAAACGCTCCAGCATGGGACTGCCACGCTTCGCCGATCACGCAGCTGCACAATAGGTGTACCACCTCAGGAGCTGGGCGATGTGCAGGACAGGGAGGTGAAGGGAGGGGAGAGAGCGCGGGGGAATTGAGGAGGAATCGCTCCCTGTCGCTCATCCGAAGGACTTTGCGAACGACTGCCCGTGGTTGCGTTGCGAAACGAAATGGAGCAGCGGGTGGCTGGTGCCGCGGCCTTCACTGACGAGCATTTGGCGCAAACGTGCCCAAACTTGAATCGACGCCCCACCTTTTCATACTGCTCGCTGCATTGTCCGCTACCGTGCCTGAAGGGGAGCGTGCGTATTAGAATAAATAGTCGTATGTAGTTTTAAGTTGGGCCTGCCCCCCTACAAGCGGACTGTGGGCGAGAACTAAACATCAAGAGCCTACTAAAACGGCCCAAGAGGCGCCCAGGAGGCCCAAAGAGGCCCCCAGTGGCCCTCAGGAGGCTCTGAGAGGTCTAAACAGAGCCCTTAAGAGGCCATCCACTCCTGGTCTGCATGTCCTCCCTTTCCTCCTCCTCTTCCTCCTCCTCCTTCTCATCCCTACTGCGCTGTTGCACACGCATGGTGGCGGGGTTTGCCGCAGGCAGCTGCATATCAGTCCCGCTCACTGTTGTGGACACGCTGTCGTTGGGCTGCCCGAGACTCACGCGCGATCGCCCTGCAACACCATCAATGATCCCTTGTTTCGCGCTCGCCGTGCGTCCGTACCGGAGGAGGTGCTGTCACAATCTCTCTCTCTCTCTCTCTCTCAGCGTGGCCGGCCGCCTCCTGCCCGCCGGAGGACTCACGCCCGCTGCTCTGATCCAAATTCGCCATGCTACTCCTCCCTGCCGCTTCATCCCCTGGCCAAGGTTTTCTGACTGCCCTGCCCGGCTTGCCTCGGCCCAACATGAGCCACATCCACCCTGGTTTCGCACGAGGGGGGCTAGGTGTACTTCAGGAACAACCGAATTGGAGTTGGAACCTGGATATACATCAAAATACCAGACATTCGTACTAGCAACTTCCATACATCATAATATCAAATAAGATCCGGATGAGGAAGCACGGGTAGCTAGCAGCTAGCATCGAACATCGAAGCTGTCACAATCTCTCTCTC